TCTTGTGGTTCCCTGCCAGAAAGTGTCTTAGATGTTTGGCAAGCATTTGGGTCTAAGATACCCCGCTTTGGGCCAAGTCTGTTTTGCTGGACATTTGCCCATGAGGGGATGGGTAATTTTCAGAGTTTGATCAGGAGTCTGTCATTTGAAATCTCCTTCTCTCTCTCTCTCTCTCTCTCTCTCTCTTTCTCTTACACTCTTTCTACACATACACACACACACACACACACAAGAATTAAAGATCTTTGACTCTAACACTTTACATACTGCTTTCTTTCCCTTTGTGCAAATGGATATGCACCCCTGAACAGCTGGGAGTCCCTAGGTACCCCTTGGTTGCACAGTAACAATTGTTTGGATATATCAATGTTGTTTATCCATTTATCAAGTGATATAACTTTGGGGTGTTTCTACCTTTTGACTACTGTAAACATACAACATCTGTGTGCAAGTTTTTGTGTGTACATGTTTTTTGTTTATCTAGGGAGTGGAGTTGGAGCTAAAGTGATAACTTCATATTTAACTTTATATTTGAAGAATTGCCAAGCTGTGTTCTAAAATGGCTACACATTTCACATTCCCACCAGCAATGTGTGAGGATTCCGGCATCCTCACCAACACTTGTCTTTTCGATTATAGCCATCTTAGTAGTTGTCAAATGATATCTCACATGTTGATTTGCATTTCCTTATTGGTCAATGATGTTGCACATCTTTTTTGTATGTTTTCTCAATCATGCATAGATTTTTTTCTCTAGAAAAATACCTATTCAAAACATTTGCACATTTAAACAATGAGCTATCCTTTTATTATTGAATTATCCGAGTTCTTTATAAATCTGAATACAATTTTTCATCAGCTATGTGGTTTAAAATTTTTGTGTGTTGTTTTGATTATGTGAAACAGAAAATTTTTAATCTTGGTGTATTCCAACATATCAGTCTTCTGTCTAATGGCTAGAGCTTTAGGTATTATATCCAAGAAATCATTGCCTATTCCAAATCACAAAGATTTACTCCATTGTTTTCTTGTCAAGAGTTTTATAGTTTCAATGTTTACATTTAAATCTATGATCTATTTTGAGAGCTTCCATATGATCCAGCAATTCCACTCCTAGGTATTTACCCAAAGGACACAGAAACATCAATTCCAAAGAACACCTGCACCCCTATGTTTATAGCAGCACTGTTTACAATAGCTAAGCTTTGGAAACAACCCAAATGCCCAAAAATAGATGACTGGATCAAGAAGATGTGGTACATATATACCATGGAATACTACTCAGCATTCAAAAAAGATAAACACATGCAATTTGCAGCAACATGGATGGCGCTGGAAGGGATCATGCTCAGCGAAATAAGCCAAAAAGAAAAAGAAAAATACCGGATGGTCTCACTCATAGCAGGAATCTAGAAAACTTAAATAAGAGACCAGGAAAATGAATAACTATAAGAAAGTGAAAATCAAAATCAACAAAAAACTATGAACCAGAGACACTTTTAGGGGGGCAGGGGCGGGAGGGGAGGGACTGGGGTCAGAATGGGGGGGCTGCAATTGTATGGGGAATATAACAATAAAATTTATAAAAATAAAAAAAAATAAATCTATGATCTATTTTGAGTTATTTTTTTTATTGATGTCGTAAATTATGTTGATTGATTTTTGGATAAACCATCCTGTGTGAATCCCACTTGATCATGAAGTATGACCCTTTTAATGCATTGCTGGATTCAGTTTGCTAAGGTTTTATTAAGGATTTTTGCATCTGTGTTCATTAAGGAGATTATTGTATAATTTTCTTTTTTTTTCTTGTGATTGTTTGGTTTTGGTATTAGAGTTATTGGAGTATTTGGAAGTATTCTTTCTTTTTTAATTTTTTGGAAGTTTGAGTGAGATAGGCATTAGTTCATCTTTGAAAGTTTGGTAGAGTTCACTTGGCCCTCTGAAGTGGCATTTTTTAAGCAGAGATGCGAAGAATGATGCTGGGGAGGGAAACCCATGCACAAAGCCTCTGAGAGGTGATGAACTTGGCTTGCATGGAGCGTGGTGACAAAAAGGAGAGTGGCATGAGCTGATCCAGGAGCTAAATCTTATGACTGGAGATCATTTTAAATTTTTCATTTTTGCCCTAAGAACATGCAATGAATCTATACTATGAATATATCATATTCAAATTTTAAAGAGATAACTGAGTGCTCTGTTGGAAAAGAATTTGGAAGGGGATGAGAGAGAAGGTGAAGGAACACTCAGGCAGCTATTTTAATAGTCCAGGGCCTTCCTGATGCAAGTGGGGCTATTCTGAGTGACAGTTCTTGCTGCCCTCATTGAATGGAGGAGAAAGTCTGACTCACAGGTGAGAGCAATCCTACCCACCATACTTAGTATGCAATCCTAAGTATCATAGAAATTAAATATACATCAACTTTATAATTATTTACTATTTTTGTGTGTGTGACAAAATTGCCCACACTGAGCTTTGTTTGATGAGATTGAAAAATGTCATTGTTATAGCACCACCTTGTGGAAATTCATGAGAAGTTTTTTCACTGGCTTCAATTTAAAAAAAAAAAAAAAGACACACAATGTTCTCCAGGAGGTTTAACAGTTATCAGTCACCCCAAGCCCTTCTTCGAAGGAGATGGGCTTTGTATGCATCCAACAGAATTTATTATCATCTTCAAAAAAATCAAGTATTACTGGGTCCTCTGTTCATATGTTAAAACAAAAACTCATTTTCACTGAACACTGACATAGTGATTAATACCTCTCTATATATTGCAACATTATTATGTTATATGTAAAGCCTAGGTAACTAACCTTCCCTGTTTATTTTACTTATTTATAGATTTTTTCTAAGAATTATTTAAGACAGACTATAATAACATGCAAAATATGGCAAAATAATATAAATAAAAATTCAAAGGAAAAAAAGCATAGAGACAGAAAATAGATCAGAAATGAGACCAATCAAATATGCCTATATAAGGAACAATAAACTGCCAGGTAGTGCTTTTGGTTGTCTACACACTAGTCAGCTGCCCTTTCCCTTCTGCAGTGGTTTGGTTTTGTCCTGGTACTAAGTTCCTGTGTTGAGTCCTCAAGGATTCACGAGATTAACCTGAGACACTCATGTACTCCCTAGATAAGCCATTTTTGTTAGACATTTGTGCGAGGTCTTTTTAGTGAGATGTACTTCCTATGATTTCTCATTTGGTTCTAAACTTTCTAGAAGTCTTCTCCAAAAGGGACATTCAGTTAGAAATAACTCAGTGTCCATAAATTGAAAACGGACATGCATCTCAGGAAAAACACAATATTGCTAAGACTAAGACCAGGGTCTACAGAGACCTGCTCATTTGACTAATGATTTAAAATCCCAAATAAAACACCAATGATAAAGATACTGTAATCAGCAAGCCAAGCCAAATTGGCTTTCTCTTTTGACAAAATCTGTTATTCACATTGAAGTTTCATTTTCTATATGCTCCTTAGAGTTAAAGCATATTCACTGAGCCAAATGAAAATGCATTTAACAAATTACTTTGGACAACTGGTGTAGAAAAGTCGTTCTTTACATGCTAACCTTTGGCTTGTAAATACAAAGCTCTAAGTCTCTGAGTTGGCAGACCAGTGAGGCCTGTAGGGAAAAGTTCTAGATGGTGGCTAGGTACTTTTAGAAAGAATATGTGTCTACTTTGTGTATTTCTTCAGGAGACATGGGCATTCAACAGGACAGGGAAAGATTATATTCTAAAAAGCACTGGTTTCCCCTTTGAACAACGACGTAAGAAGATATTTTATTTTTACATATACCTTTATCTAGGAATCAGACTTCTTTCTTTACTTTTAAACATTTTTATTGAAGTAAGATTGCATTATAACATTATGTAGGCTCCAACTATTCATCATTACAAATCAACATCTGCATCTAATACATCCTGGTCACCACTAAAATGTCCAATTCTGTCCTTCATGATACACTTGATCCCTTTACCCGATTTACCCATGTACTTTCCCCCTTCCCTTCTCATAATCATTAATTTGGTCATATAGTTGCGAAGTTTATTTTTGTTTTATTTAGTTCATTTTTTAATTTTATTTATGTTCCACATATGAATGGAATCACACAGTGTTTGTCTTTCTTTGTTGTATTTCACTAATCATAATTCCATCTAGGTCTACCTATGTTGTTGCAAATGATAGGATTTCATCTTTTTTAATAGCTGAGTAGTGACATTATGTGTATCCCACATCTTCTTTATCCAGTCCTTCATCAGTGGGCATTTATGTTATTTTCAACTCTTGGTTATTGTGAATAGTACTGCAATGAACATGAGGGTGTGTATATCTCTTCAAAAGCAGGGATTCTTTCTGAATTTATATATTTGTCCATCTGTGTATTTATATCCAGTTTATAAAGAAAAGAAGCAAACGTAACACTGATAGAAAGAATGTCTCCTTCATAAGCTTGCCTTGATTATTTAAGCCCATGAGTCAACTGCTATAGATGCTAAGCTACCAGGAATAGTCCCTGCCTCCAGCCCAAAGAAGCACATTTACTATTTTAATGACAAGAACTTGCTAAAGTGGGCATGTAAAATGTAACCTTGGAAAGGAATGTTTTCCATGCCAGGAAGTCTTTGAAAAGGTTTGAGTTTTTGCCATAACTAAAGATCTGATGATGCATGACCAATGACTTCATCCCCAAATAAAGGCTAGTTGCCTGCTTCTGCAATCTTCGGGGAGAATCACACTAAAAAAAATAGGACTAATTTGGAAATAACATGCAGGAAAGAGACTTCATTTTCTCTTCTCAATAAAATGAAAGAACCTGTATATGTGAGTACAGAGGCATCGCTGTGCAGACACTGGCATAAGCGCCTGTTACTCCCATAACACTGAGAGCAACTACAGAGGGACTACCTGAGACAAGAGACACAGAGAGAGACAGAAAGAGACAGAGAGAGTGCATCATTGCACATTTGCACATTCTGGCTGTCTTCAGAAAAAGGGAACTGTTCCGTTCCAGTTGATGGTGGCTTCTCTCCACTTGGTTCTGATGACCATCTCCACAGGAGAATGCCGTCTCCGCAGTGTGTGTTCATCTTCATGTTGGCCCCTTTCCCAGTGATGGGAATGAGTATCTGAGGAAGAAATGGTGCTATTTAGGACCCCACTCTCTTTAGGTCATGCCAGAAAAGATGGGGAAGAGGAGTGGGCAGGAGGTGACCAAAGCAAGTGGGTTCCTACTAGTTAAGCAGAGGGCGATTCCCGAAGATGGCATGTTGAAATGACCCCAGATAACAAGGCTGAGGGCCTTCCTGGTGGCGCATGAGTTAAGCTCTCAGCATTATCAAGCTATTACCAGCCACTGTGGCCTGAGTTCCATCCCGGCCAGGGAGCCACCACACGGTGCAGCAGACCTCTCCTGCTACCCTGCTGCTCCCCTCAGCAGTGTATTTCAGCCAGTCTGCCTGTTCTGTTCCCTGCTCTGTCTCTGGTGGATCCTCTCACTCTCCTGCAACTCTGGCCTACACTCCAGTCTTTATATGCATAAATAAATAAAATAAATCTTAAAAACAAGTCTGATAACCAGGTTGTTGTGTATTTTGGAATGTGAATATTGACAAGTCATGTAAATGCAGGTTGCAGCCCTATCATGTGACAGGCATAGGTCTGGAGATGTCAGGAAAAACAGGAAAAGGGAGAGATCACCACTTTACTGCTTCTGAGAGTATTTTTGCATATTGGGGAGGAGGGTGAGGAAGTTGAAAACTGGGTTCATGGGTTTGTCTCATGTGAGCTAGGTCACATTGAGAAAGAACATAACATCTCTCAACCTCATTTGTGATACTAGTAACTATTTAGGGGGCACCGCATTTTCCTCCAGTAAACAAGGATATCATAGGACTCACCTCCTATAAATGTTGGGAGAATTTAGTGGAATAATGTATGAAAATTTCAACATGGAGTCCAGACAGAATGTTTGTGATGCATGTGAGCTAATAAAGAAATGATACTTTCCTCAAAGAAAATAGCAAAATGGAAAAGATAATACATTTTCAGGAACATGTTATCAATGTCCCAAATACATTAAATGGGCTAATACATATTTCTCATAATTAAAAGAAAAAGAATCAGGAACTGCACAAATAGCAGTGTATTTCAGTAGATCTGCCTGTTCTGCTCCCCACTTTTTCTCTGGTGAATCCTCTCACCCCCCTCAACTCTGGCCTGTACCCCAGTTCTTGTATGCATAAATAAATAAATCTTTTAAAAAAATGGTCACTAAGACACTTTTTCCAAATTTACTTAAAATAATGAAAAGTTGTTTAACACCAGGTCTGTGATGCTAACTGCAAATAGTCAGATATCGAATTAACAAGGCCCCTTTCAAGAGTCAAGGCTCCCAGATAGAGACTTCCAATTTCACCATGTTTTTTCCTTTTGTAAAAGAGCAAATGTTTACAGGTGTTTTTAAAGCTTGTCTTTTTTTTTTTTTTTTCCTCATGAGTTAAAACAAATCTATGGTTGTCATTGAATTGAAGTGACCTGTGTGGTTGTCTCCTTCTACCTTGGACTGGAACTTCCTAAAAGTTTGTTGGGACTGTGTCTTAATTATTATTGCTTTCCTACAATCTAGCCCACTTACTGTCTAGTAAGCCCTCAAAAATGCTTTTTGAACTATTTGAACAGAAATGTGCTATCAGGTTGGATATTTACATCACTGGTGATCATCTGATGTTTGGTTGTGGGACAGACTCAGCCAACTGATTCTTCTACCCTTTGTTTTTCCAGTTCTTTTCTCAAGCATTAAATGCCTCATGTGCAAAGATAAAAGACCCCAGAGAAGGCTTTTTGGAAATTTGAGTCCACCTTTATCCCCCACTCTTACCTAAAAGTTGTTTGATCTGTGCTACTTCTATCCCACTGCATGTTTAAAATGCCCATGTTACAATGCTTGGGCCCACAGGATTCATGAGTTTATTTCAGAAATCAAGCCTAGCATTTTCCTGCAAAGCTAGTGGAATAGCCACACAGCTGTTAAACATTGTGACCATGTCTCTTTGAGCACGTGAAGGCATGAGGCACTTGGAGTCTGAAATGCTCACCTACTGTAAGATGCACAGGCTTTTCCTGTGAGGGCTTCCCACTGTAAAAGAACAGATCAAAGAGATGTTCCATTTTCCAATCTGATAAGAGCTGCCTGTTTGTGCTAAAAAGGACACTGTAATTTCCATTGATGTTGCACAGCCAAATAGGTAATTTGGGTGTCTTCAGCATGCTGCCCACCTGGAAGGGGAGAGGAGAGTGAAGATGAATACATCATTTTTGCCACATTGCTACAGATGCCAGCATATCATGATCAAACGGCCACTGTGAGGCTCCTGGCTGCACTTGCAGCTGTGCGGGTTTGGTGTATGGAGTAAGGTTAGAGAACGAGGCTTCATCATGAAGGAATTTACAGTTATGAATGGTATGGTGTAGTGAGGCTGCTGCAATTGAGAGTTTCTCTCAATGGCTTTTATTTTTTAAAAATTTGGATGTGACCTTGAGGGTGAGTTGGAACCACCCCAGGTTTAGTTTGGGAATGAGGTTGAGAATAAATAGATAAACAGAAATATAATTAAGTGTAAGACTGGAATAAAGGAACTTCAGTTCTGTCTTTGTCATCAAACAATGTATTTACTCCTATTCCCAAGATAGGATGCTACTTGAATCAGCAGGTGGCCAGATTCTGGCCATAATAACCATTTAGAATACAAGAAAAAGAATATTTAGAAGATGGAAATATAGAATATTTCAACTATAGAAGAAAACTTGGGGGAAATAAGTGGAACACACTCACACTTCTGTAAGCATGTTTTGCATATTAACATATAGGCCAGTTGTGAAGGTGTTATATAATGATATTACAGTGTATTTCTATTAATAATACCCCCCACTTTATTTAAAAAGACAGAGAAACACATATTTTGTGACTGATTACCATAGGCTAAAGGATAGCATTGAACTTTACTGGTGAACTTCATGGGGTGTTTATACATATGTTGATTTTCACTGATGCACAACTGAGACATATAGTGTCATAACATTACCTTGATAAATATAAATCTCAAAAATATATCAAAATGTTGCCATCAAAACTCATGATAGGCTTAATGTTCAAGCCAATTTTTTCCTATTTAAAGACACAAATAGAAGCTACTGGAAAACCCATCATTCCCACATGACACCAAGGAGTGCTACCTTGATTCTCTGTGTGTCTTTTTCACACAGAAAAATTCAAAGTTGTCATTCTGTTTCTTTTCTTCTCAGTTCTCAGAGTTCTACTGTGTGCATAGGAGCAAATTCTGTTCTATGAAATGTGCAACTTGGAAAACTTATCACATGTTTCATAATAAACCCAGTATTGAAGACTAATAACTTGACATTTTGATTTCTCTACAGTTCTATTCAAATCTCTTCATTTTCTTTAGTTTAAATTTGTCGGTTGTGGGTGAGTGGGTGAAACAGAAAGCTTTTGTCTTTCAGCTTTTTACTTTTAGCTATGGTAGAAAAATTATATTACTCTTTTAAAAGAAATAAACTCAGTTTTACTCAAAAAGTGGTGTAAGCCTAGCATCCCCACCTTAACATCCCCATAGTGGGTATAGAATTTGCTCATTATTCACATCAGAATTAGCCCTTCCAGGCTCATTATAACATAAATATCTCACATCAAACATAGGGCCAGTCACCCACTGAGTGCATCGGAAATAAAACACAGACGATGTGGCACTGAAGCAGAGGCGTGGGCTTACATTCCAGAATCCACCCCCAAGGTCCAGATCATATTATAAGCATTTCTTTGTTCAGCCTCCTGAAGATGGCACCTGCTGCACCAAGGTCATAATGTAATCTGAGGGACATTAAGGTTGGAAAGCAAATTAACTAATTAGAAATTAGGAATAAATAAACTAAGAAATTAGTTTGTAGGAAAATGCTACTCCATATGAACTTTGGGTAGATATTCTGGCTGATTTTAAACCAATGAAAGTTCCTGTAAATTATGTCTGAGTGGATGTAATAAAATAGAGACATATATGCCATTGCATCACAAGATCATTGTAGTGTAGGAAAATTCAACTGATTCACAGATACTCTACAATAAGTTGATACCGTACCATTGTTGTTTTTGTTATTTTATACGACAATGCAACAGTTTTCTTTCCTGAAATCAAAAGTTTCTTAAGATTTTGTTAGAGTAGGAGGAAAATAAAGTTCTCTTAAATGGAATGGCCCCCCCATTGGGACCATATAGAGACCCCACGCTGAATAGACAGACCCTCCCCTGCCTTGAAAAATGCTAGTGTAAAGGTAACACCATACACAGCACTTAGGGCTCTATGAAACGAGCTTTAATACTACAGTTGAGCACATACTTGGTTTAAAGTGAGTCCTGCAGAAACACAACAAGGCACTTCCCAATTGAATCCAGCCATATATCCCACCCCTTTCTTGTCTAGGCACATCATATAATCTGCTTGGAATTTTCAGGAGCTTTTGGGTAGACACAGTTTAACAGTCAGCCACTGCTCCCCCCATCAAAGTAGGATTCTAAATATGTTTTATTGGTGAGATTCCACCAAAGCAGAATCTGTGCATGTTGCCTCATGTTGCCATGGTAAAAAGGAAATTAAATTGTGATACAGTGGTGCTATAAATAAAATACCTTTCTCCTGAAGTTCACTCATTGTGTAATAAATCTAGTAGTTCAGCAGTATGTGCAGTAGTCAAGCCTCTCAGAACATGTATCATTCAAGTCAATGTAAAATTATGAGGACTAGAAGAAGGATGGGCATGTTCTAAATACTCTAGGGCAAGAATTGAGTCCTTGATGGTGTCTAGAGCAATGTTTAGAATTTGCAATGTTTAGAATATGCCTTTGCATAATGTGTTTGATATTACAGGTCACAAGAGAGAAAGGTATTGGAAATGTTGTGCTTTCTTCTCTGATTCTGGTGGTACTCGAGTGCCTGACTGTTAATGGCCTGGCTCTCATCTCTGACACCTGGAATACAGAGCTAATGCCACTTCTCTGACTGAGTCTGCAGGTATGGTGTCATGTCTACGAGTGCCAACTCAGCGACTTGGTAGTGGAGTGCAGTGTGTGGAGCTTCATTTGGGACTTTTATGGTTGGATTTCTTCCTATTAGTCTCTTGGTCTCTTTAAAGGGAACATGTAAAGAGAGAAAGTGGTGTGTTCTGCCAGAGCAACTGGGGGCATGATTCCAGCCAGACCTAAATAGCTTCCCTCCTTCCTAAAAATCAGAGTTGATTTTTCTTCAAGGTGGCAGTGCAAGGATAATGTGAATCTCCTAAGGCTTTCCAGATGGTGTTAGACTCAAACTGCTTTATGTTCTCTCTTAGGTATTGGAACCTCACACTCAAACCTGTACCTTCAAAAAGAAATGTGACAGGAGGTTTCAAAATAGAGCCTCATCTTCTGGGTAGCTGGCTGGATTCCCCAGGAACTGCTAGTCTGGTAGCTCCAGGGGCTTGCCATATCATCTAATGATATGGCAGCTTTTTTTTTTTTGTTTTTTCACATCTCACCCACTGGGCTGTGACATTGGGACTGAAAAGTGTGCATTTTTGCAATCTCTGCAATTTTCTCACAGAATAAGAAAAGATTTACTTTGGGAAGACAGATGCAATATTATGGGGTTTCACCTCAACAACAGAATGCAATTGCCAGGCAGCACACTGGCTTTCATTTGAACTCAGAATCCTTTCTTATGTTAGGTTTTTATTATCAATGTACATTCTTTAGATTTAGAACACCACCCTAGACAGGAGCCTGTAAATACTCTTAAGTGGTTATACACTCAGTGGGCATATGCAGAGTCCTGTACAGAGTCACTATGCTTTGGAGCAGAAAGGAAGGGAGTGACTGTGGGGTCCTCAACTCAGTGATACTTAGAGACTATTGTCAAACCACTTCTGGTTCTTCCTAGAGCAACGTTCTGCTCTGCAAGAGTATTTCAGTTCTGTGGCAGAATATTGTGAAATGTCAGACTTCTGTGTACCCTGCGGTCAGTGGGACCTCTGGTTAGTATGAATCTGAGCACCACTGAGTGTGTCCTGGTATACACCTGACAGATGTGGCTTGCCCAGCTAGCAGGTGGAGGAGGAACCCCTTGGAGACTCGGTCCCAAGAGCCTGTAGCTCACACTCGCAACAGTTGAACTTTAACTTAGATGTCGCGGATAAAGTTCTTGCTTGTTGAGCACAACTGTCCATGATTTTACCACCATCTAAATGTTTGGGTTTTTTTTAAGATTTATTTATTTATTTATTCATTCATTCATTCATTCATTCATTGATTTATTTATACAAGCACTGGGTGCAGTCAGAAGCATGGGAGGGTGAGAGAATTACCAGAGCCAGAGCAGGGAGCAGAGGAGGCAGAAGGACCGAAGCAATATGCTGAGGGAAGCAGCGGGCGGCAGGAGAGATCTGCACACCATGTGGGACCCTTCTCCAGTGGCTGGGGAGCAGCCGGGGATCTAACCGGCGCTGCATAGGCTGCGGGCAGCTTTGCAACCCAGTGCTCAACCGCTGTGCCACCGGGGAGGCCCCCCGGGGAGGCCCCCACCATCTAAATGTTAAAGCTCAATTTCAGCATGCCTCTGATAGATGTTACAGTTTATATAATATAATCTTCATCTATATAAATATATAAATATAATAGATTATAAAATCACTTATGATAGCGCATTTGCAAGAACTGGCATTTATATTTACCACTTTATCAGAAACAAAGATGACAGAGACAAGGCAGCATGGCACAGAGGACAGAATGTGGACTGGGTTTATAACCCTGGCACTGACACGTAGCCTTGGGAAAGTCCCTTCATTTCTCCCAGTCTGCATTTTCTCATCTCTAAAATGAATAACCAAATAAGAGACACTGGACACTGATTATATCTTAGAGTGGAAGTGAGGATTAAAGGAGCAAGTGGCTCCAGAGAGAGCCTGGCACATGGTGATGTTCAAGACAAGTAGCTGTTCGTACTACAATGATTAAGTAAGCTTTCTGTATACTTTCTTTAGTTACCATCTTCAAGGATGGTAAAATACATGTTCATAATTATTATATAAAAAGATATTTCAACAATATATATGAGTTGAGCTGATACCGAAGGAAAAAAGCACCTTCAGATAAAATAAACTTTATATGTAGATCTAGATATACATGTATATGTCTAATATAGTCATATATTTCATCAGTTCAAATGAGAAAACCA